TTTTCTTACAACTTCTTCAATTAATTATCTTATGTTTTTTGGGTTTTTCACCAATACTTTATAGTAAATTAGTTTTACCAATATGGCTTGTAGCTATGGTTGCTTTTCGATATCGAATATTACCAAAAGTTATTGCTAAAAAATATTTACGCGTATTAGATCAACGATTATAAACTTGCTTTTTTTTTGTCTATGAACAAAATATTTTTGTAAAAAAAAAAAAAAAAAGAAAAGACAAGAAAATGAAAGAAACAATTAATATTACGAATAAAAAATTTAATATAGTATCATATTTGAAACCTGACATGTTTTTTTTTCTGTGGCCTAGACAGAAATTTTTACTCTTATCATGAGATTTCAAAGGTTTTATTAAATTTTCTAGGAGTTTTAGTCGAGAGTATAAGAATGGGCAACAAAAAAATCATTCATGTGTATATTAAACAAAAATGAGAAAACAATTAGATAAGAATCTAAACTATTTTATTTTTGGCAATAAAATGGAATGAACTAAAGGTTTTGCTTGAATTTTTCTACGATGAAAAAATAAATATTAACTGTAATACAAAGATTTTTATTTTTGATTAAGGAAATTTATTTGAAGTTTCTTGTTCAAGGTTTATTTATATCAATGCACTATTAATCATTCTTTTCTACGTGTGTTTGAAAATTGTAATGCAATAATTTATGTATTTTATGTATGCATTAAGCCTCACTGGGATGCTGTTTTTTCCTAATGAGGTAGAACGATTAAAATAGACAATGTCATTTCAAAGAGAATTCATTTTCAAGAACTATGCCATTAGAAAGCATTCTTAAAAAGCTTTGATTTGTTTATTGTCGATAGCAGTATAACGATATTCTCGGTTTGTTTTTTCTACATAAATTGATGAGTTTTAAGTAGAAACCATATGCAATTAGATTAATTCATATACAACAAAAAAAAAAGAAACTACGAAATAAACCAACAAAGAACATCAATGTGATGCACAGCATAATCATTCCGACTGATAAAAAAAGAGAAAAAAAAAGCTAGATAGAAAGAAGATAAATTAAGTGCAAGCTCTTTTCATATAGAAAAAACATCTATGTATATATCAAAAACAGTTATTATAATAAAGATGAAAAGGTTAACAAGGACTTCTTAAAGAGCCAAATGAATACTTCTTATTACAGTGAAATCTAAATTTATGATTTATTCAATATGATTACTATATCAATTGAAGTGATAATATTTGAATTAAGAAATTTATGATTTTATACATTTTTGACAAGTTTATTTGGTAGATTTCGAACATATAAATAGCTTCATTTACTATAAAATAAAAAATACTTTTTCAAGGAGAATCTGATGAAGAACAACTTGTTAGAAAGAAAATAATAAAATTTTTACGATAGTTTCATTTTACTGATAAGAACAATAATAACTTCGATAACATATTTTCATCAAAATGAAACTATGTTTCATACATTTCAAACACTATTTCAGATATCATTGTAGTTTTCTTTACTAGAAAATTATAATCTCAAGAAATAATATAATTGAAATTGATTAATTAAAAAGCGAAACAATCATTGAACAGCTCTTTTCTTTTATGGGCTATGAACCATTCTCACTGAGTGTATTCTCAATAACTTGAAAAGTACTCAACTGTTGTGATAAGATTCTCAGAAAAAAAAAACAGCAAGTTTTCCTCCGAACTTATGAACTATTACAAGCTCAATGGCTACGTTCATAGGATTGAATTTACATTAAATTTCAATTATCAACAGAAAAATGTGCCTATCGAAAATTCATCCGGTATATCTAAAACAAAAGAAAATACTTAAATAGTATTCCATAGAAGAGAATCAGTTGTTTGATTTACATATGAATATGAAAAAATTGAATAATGATTATAGAAATATGATCATGCAAGAAAAGTTTGCTTATTATTGATTAACCATTTTGAAGAATAATCGGATTTCATATCAAATAACATCTTGAAAGTGTTATTCTATAAGCAAAGTAAACTAATAAGTTAATAGTTAAAATGATTTTCGAAATATTTAAATTTAACATTATCTATAGTATATCTTTCAATGAATAAGAGAGTAATTCTAAGCTGCTTATATGCAAAATTTAATATATATGGGAGTGACCAGTCAGTATGGTACCCTATTTTGATGCACTTCTATTGTAAGGATAAAACATACTATTGTTCGGGTCATATAAGAGAGGATCCTAGATAACCTTGAATTGGCCCGAACAACATCATGTTTTATCCGTACAATAGTTGAGAACAGCTACTAGCTTATCGTGTGAGTTGGCAGCTTTTCTCTACTATTGTACGGATAAAACATGATGTTGTTCGGGCCAATTCAGGGTTATCTAGGATCCTCTCTTATATGGCCCGAACAATAGTATGTTTTATCCTTACAATAGGAGTGCATCAAAATGGGGTACCATACTGACTGGTCACTCCCATATATATTTGAACTGTACATATTTTCTAAATATTAATTATTTTCATTTTTATAAATATCATATTGGATACAGTTGATCAGGAAAATAAAAATATTATTTAATTCAACAGAGAACACGATAAATATATTCACGATGAGTATTAACCATAAAAGGCAGTGATAAATCAGTAAAATAGTAACGTCCAACGTAACTGCAAAAAGTTCATACCACTATTAATAAAAACATATAATAATTTATCTCGAAGTTGAAGATACAGCTTGTCGAATTGGTTCCGAATCCGTAAATTTTGGACCCAACGGGTTCTGGTCATTTGAGAAGTATATAGACTGAACTCGTCATAGAATAGAGAAAACCGAAAAAAAAATATCTCGTATCTTCAAGATAGCTATCCTATTCCAAAGAGAAAATTTCATTGAAAGTATTAAAATACAGTTCGACTAGATCTAGACCAAACGATGATAAAAAAAAATTACATTTGACTTCTTAATCGTTTTCATTTTCTCTCTTTATTTTTTGTTTCCTTCGGTCAAATCAATGTCAATCTTTATTTTATTTTTTTTTGATTTTCAAAATAACATAAATACCTTTTATTCTAAACCTGAAGTATATATAGATAATGTTGATTAACCTGATGAGATAAATTTCCATCTGTGTAGCATAATAGTTCTATTTTTAAAATAATTTTTTAACTCGAAACTATTTAATGATAAATAAATATTCCATATAAATTAGTAGATTTATTCTGTTAATGAAATAAAAATATGATTTTCTTCAAGATACAAAACAAATTCTCATCACATGATAAGCAAAAAAATATTTCTCTTTCGAATAATTAACTTCCTTCATATATCGCATTGATTCTAATTAGAATTTCATATCTACTATAACGATATATGTAATGAATAAATGAAAAAAAATTTTACATATAAAGTAATAATTATATACATAATAAAAGTTTATTTCACAATAATTGCTGGTGGTAATTGTCGATCAGGTAGAACTTGACGATGAAGATATTCATATTGTCTGCGTGTTTCGACAATCTTTAAAAAGAAAATCAAATAAATCATTATGTTCGACAAAAAAAAAGAATAAATATTAAATAATATACTTGTTGTTTAAAGGATTTTTTACGTTCTTCTAATTCATGTTTCTGTCGTTTGAGTTCATCAACTTCTTCAAGTAATGCTTCAACATTGATTGCTTTTCGTTTTCGACAATTTTGTGCTGCAATCTAATATATACAAAAAATATTATTAGTTTAATTAATATTCAATATTAAAATACTTTATTTTTTCCACGACGACGAATATCTTTTATAATATGTATTTGTTCAGGATTTAAATGATTTAGTCGTGATAGATGGCGATTATATTCTTCGGTGGTTGATTGAGTTATATCATATACAGTGAGTGGAATATTATATCGACGTAAAGCTTCTTCATCTTGTTGTCCTTGACAATTGCTACGTGCACTCAGTCGACGTACCAATGTATGTGAATTTGAATGTTCATCATATTCAATCTGAAAAATTCGAATGAAGAATTTTGTTTATATCGTTTGATTATCTTTTGTTTTTGTTCAATACTTTTTCTAATTTTGTTTCAATAAAAGTTCCATCAAATGTTAATTCACTATCAAGTGTATTTGAATCACTCTAAAGAAAAACTATTAAAATCAAACTATAATTTAGTTTGAAATATATTACTTCAAGTGATGAATATAGTCTTTGATGTCGACTACTATTGCAACTACTACTTATTGAATGTTCATCATCAATTGCAACACTTAAAAAATTCATTAAGGAATCTTGTTTATTTTTATTGGATAATGGAACAAATATTGGTGATGTTGTTTCAGGAAGATTTTTATCATTTTCATCATTTAATTGATCAGATAGTAATTGATCAGGGAACATGATATTATTAGTAGATTCGTCAAGAGAAATATAATTTGAAAGCCAACTTGAATTTGTTTGATCGTTACTTAATGGAATATCTTCAAATAATAAATCACTATTTGATGTTGTTATCGATGGTATTAATTGATTAGGTGATGACGATGGTATTGATGTTGATAATTCGAAAGTAGATAAATATTCCTCAATCCAATTCTATATAAAAAAAAACATGAGCATATCTTATAGATATTATTTAAAAGAAAAGAATAAAAAAGATAAACAAATCAACTTACATTGTTGGAAGACGAAAAAGATGGACTAGATGCAACCAGCAATTCACGAAAGATTTTCTCACCTGAAAATATCGAAAGAAAAAAAGAACAGCTAAATAAATATTGACAAAAATGACGGCGATAAGATTCTATTGACGTTAATGAAATAAAATACGGTTTTTTTTTTGTTCTTTCTTTGAATATCATCAACATATCTGGTATTTTCAACGGGGCTGATTGTGGTCGAAATATCAACCTACATTCTATGACACATTTGAAACTTGAAACTAGGTCATTGAAATGACCAGAACAAAATGAAGACTGTCTTAAGTCAATAAAACTCGATAACACAGAAAAGAACAAGAAAGCAAACAAACAAAATACTTAAATACTTGTCTTTTGCGAGCTTAGGTCCAAAATGAAAAAAAAGAAAAGAAAAAAGGAAAACATCTAAACACTTTATTTACCAGTTTCCGGATCGATTTCATAATTCGAATCATCTTCATCTGATATTGACGAATCATCTTCATCAATTAAAAATTTTTTACCATTTGTTATGAATTTTAATTCAAAATGTTTTTCTTTATTAAAATATCTATTTGTTATATCATCAAGATCAAGATCATTGCCATCGTCTATCCAGTTTAAAGGACGTACACCTAATTCATCAAAATCAACACATGATATATCTTGAGCGTCCATTAAATCCACTAATTCTATGTTATTATACGAATTATTAAGAAAAAACAAACTTATTGAAGACGACGACTGGATGTTAGTTACTTCTGAAACAGAAAACAAATTTTTTTTCTCTTAACAGAGAAAACAAATTACTTTTTTTTTCTTTTCTGTTCTGTTAACGAAAATAAATAAATAAAAAAAAAAAAAGAGAGAAAAACAAGGACGTAAATTTCATAAGTTTTATTATTTCGAGAACTTATCCTCAAATAACACTATCTAATTATTCTTATCCTTTTTTTTGTTTAAATTTTTTATTTAATCTATTTCATAATATATGCTTGAATTAACAATTAAGAAACAGACGGATGTTAACAAAAATGAAATCCTCTTATACAAAAACTTGTTTTTCTTTTTTGTTGTTGTTTTATTTTACTAAATACAAACTGATCTAACGAAAAACTTTCATCATAAACTAATTATCAGTTTATATTAATTGAAAACACAAAAAAAAACAACAATCATATTCTCTTTATTGATAGTTTACCATCTTTCTGAACTTAACAAAAATAACAAAGATCAATGAATTTTAACTTCTTCATGTCGACTAGTCGATACATGAAACCAATAGTTCTGTTTTCCAGCTCGTTGTCCAAGCATAACTTGTCGTTTAGGTACTTCTTCTGGTGGTACAATACGAACAAATTTATCTCGATCAAGATCATCAAGAACTAATTCTTTTGGCCTAAAAATAAAACAAATTTCAAATGCATTTTTCGTTATTTTTTTTCTTCTTTTTACCATTTAAACATTTGAGGAAATTTATTAATATCATCCGATGTTAAATCATCAAGTCGTTTTGGTACAACACGTGAACCACGAATTTGATCACATACATTTCGTAAAAGATGAGCAGGAACAGCCTGATAAACAAAACAAAAACTTTCATTGTTTTTCTTTTTTAATGTATAAATCTATTCTTACATCATCTGGAAATGTATATAATCGACTCATATCAAAACGTCGAGCACTACCACTTGGCATACAACTTAAAACACATAAATGAACCACCTTTATTTAGAGAAAAAAAAATAAGCACATATAGAAAAATAGAATAAAATCAATTTATATTTATTTACTTTAGTTGGATCAATTTCATGTAATTTAAATAAAGGTATATCATATCTTGTCTTGGCATATTCACGTCTTGCATGTAATGCTTCAGAACGCCATGCATCATTACGTAAAGCTATATGTCGAGTGTTTATAGCCACAACACAATCACCTGTTGATTCTATTTAAATGAAAAAATTATCATAGATAGATAAATACAGTTTTAGACAAAAGTAATTCTTCCCTATGAAGTGTTAATATTCTTAATAATATTGAACTGATATTTTCAGTGTATGCGTGCAATATGAAGCCCTGATTGATTCATATGTACCGAACTTATATTCAGTGGAAAAATACACTCAAAATGATTTTATTTTGTCATTTTGATATATCACAAGCTACTACTGTTGTTTGTTTTTTCTCTAGTCCTGAAGACAGTCCCATATGTCTAATTTATTATCATCCAAGTTCGAGACATATAGTCAAGGTCTTAGTAATTTACACACTCTGAGATAGTGAACACATGCCATAGCTCCAATTCGATTTCATTCAAGGTTGTGGCTCTAAACATTTCAAAAAAAGATTTGGTCTCTCATCAGTGGTCAAAGTCCTTCTTATTAGAAACTACTATGTGTTCTTCAATATGTACTCCTAATGAGAAGACAATACCTCATGAGGAAAAGTCTTTAAGTAATAAATCGCTTCTAAATTGGGATTATATTCAATGGATAGAGCCTAGTGGTATCCAAGAGTAGTTAGAACTTTGTTGTTGAGATACTGAATTTTTAGAAATTTTTTTCTACAGGATGTCAGTTTTCAAGGAAAATTATAGGTTTGAGTTTTGTCATAAAACTTTACTCACATAACAACTCTGATTATACTACTTTGTCAAAAAGTTCTGAAACTTTTAATGAAAACTAGTCTAGTTAAGATCTTTATTCAGGTAAAGTTTTTTGGTCAAATTTCAAAAGTTTGATTTTGCTTGGAAATTAGAGTCCTGTAGAAAAAAGCAGTCGACTAGTTATTCAATATGTCAGTAATAAATGTCCAACAGCTGAAGCTATTCTAGAGTATATACCTTGTCACTAAGCTCTATCAATTGAATTGTAGTCATAGCTTAAAAGCGATTTATCCACTAGGAGACCTTCCTTTGTCAATTATTTTCAAAAGGATTTCGAAAAAAATTTAAACTAGCGATAGCTATAACATTGGCCTTTCAAATAAAATTTTCGATGAAAATATTTGTGTCAATTTAGTTAAGATCAGGTGATCACAAAAGAAAAATGATATCTGAGTCATGAGTCCCGTACACTCGAACCAATGAAAAGCGGATTAGCGCTTGTGATCAAAGTTTCTTATCACACGCAGACATCCAAAATATCAATTCAATATTCATAATCAATAGAAGTACTTCATACTTTCTAATAAATACCAAAGTTCGCTACAAATTGTCGAAAGTTCAGTAATCTTTTTTATATTATATACCATCATAATATGATTAAATAAACAATTATTAGAATGTCCAAGTCAAGAAAGAAACAGCTAATATAAAAAAAGAAAACTCTATAATGTCGATAGCATCATAATTTCAAATGTTTTCTTTTTCTAATATAAATGCTAATACGAATTTTTTCGCAACGAATGTTATTCATATATGTAAATTAACGTTTATTCTTCTCATAGTCAATCTTCATTCTTCAACATAAATATTTCTATTAAAAAATCAATTTTTGGAAATGTCTATTCAAACAACAATAAAAAAAAAGAAGAATCAAAATAACTCTCGTCTATTTAATCGAGCATATATCCTCATCAAGTTAGTATGTCTATTTAAAATATTCTTTTGCGAACTTCCTTCTACCTATAATCAAACTTATCTACCCGTAAACGAACACTTCTTATAAGAATGTTAACAAAAGATTAACATATTTTTATCAATATAACCCTTGTTTTTTTTCTCCGTCTAGTAAATCTCTTTTTTCATAAAATGNTGTTTTTAAAATACACCTACTTGATAATTAAAAAGGGTATGCAAATACCAAGCATGCATGAGACACTCGTTAGCTTTGAAAGTTGAGCACTTTTTATGCTTTGAATAATATTCATTTCTTTTTTTCTCTTAACTTTCTACAGAAATAAGTTTATTTATGATTTTGTAGAGAATTTCACGATGCATCGTTTGGCAAAACAACCAGTTATAAAGATCAAAAAGAAAAAAAGTTATAGTCAAAATACTGAGACCGCCATTTATTCTGCCACATCCGTTACAAACTAAAATATTCTTTTGCGAACTTCCTTCTACCTATAATCAAACTTATCTACCCGTAAACGAACACTTCTTATAAGAATGTTAACAAAAGATTAACATATTTTTATCAATATAACCCTTGTTTTTTTTCTCCGTCTAGTAAATCTCTTTTTTCATAAAATGCACATAATTTCTAAACTTTAATAAATATAAATTTGAGAACGTAGTGAAATGTTCACAAAAAAGAAAATATATATATAGTTTCAATAAATGATGTCTAATTTTTACCTCCGGGATAATAAATTGGTTTATGTTCACCACGTAAAATACGAGCAATTTTTTCACCAGATAAATGTGGACATTGCCATTTAGCATCAAATAAATACCAAACACGAGAAAATGTTGCTAATTGCTAAAAATTAATTTTTTAATTTTTTTTTTTTGTTTTCATGAAATTTTCACTTACTTTCGCTTTATTAAATGCCATGATTTGTTTCTTGGTTTTCTTTTTTTACTCTAGAAATATTTCATCTGAAAAAAATCATTAGACTAAATTGAAATTTTGATCGATCTATTAATAACGAAAGGCACACCAACTGTTACCGATAATATTTTATTCAAAATTACAGTACACTAAAACAAAGATAGTCTTATCATGGTTCATGCACATAACTTGTTAGTGAAAATTTACATTTATCTTAATGAATCTTTAGTCTAAGGTAAAAATATCTTCAACAAGAAGTGATTTCGATTTGAAATTCTTTTCGTAAATTTTCAACATAATAAATTTCTTCTGTACAAGACAAGTGACAATAACTGATCTGTCATAAAAATTAAGTATCGCAACAAAAAAGCATTTACTAAAAATAATAAGAAATGTTTATGAAAAGAATTTTAGATTGAAATTCGTTCATGTCATTTTGTTGACGTTATTTTACTCTAGGTCAATAATATCCTAGCAGTGCTGTAAGTTTTGACTTAAATATTTTGGGAATGAAAGATGATAAGAGTACTTGAGCCTTATCAAACCATATTTATGAGTAAAAAACTATTAGCTTAAAAGCAAAGAAACAGTTTAGTATTTCATGCATCAGTTGCATAAACTTCGCTACATGAGATCAAACTAAATAATTCTTAACTCAAAATCTCGTAGATTCTTTAAGCACGAAAAAATGACTAAAACTTTCAAAAATTACTTGTTTTGATATCTGAATGTAATCGATTAATTATTACTGAACTTTCGATTTTCTAGTTTCATATTTATATTCTGAAATTTCTCGAACACATTTTCATTCATTCAATAAAGTAATTCAAAATTCGTGACTTTAGCAGAAATGACTCAGTCTCTTGTAAAAATGCTCGAGACATTCTCTAATAGATTCTTTTTCTGGTCACGCCACTACCAGAACTAACTATATCAGTTTCTCATACAACTTAGGATTTTCCTCACTTACATTTTTTTTAGTTAAAAATTTATTAATAACTATAAAAAACTATTTACATTATTCTTGATTCTGTCTGATATACCAGTATATTATATAGCCATTAATTAGAAGCGATTATACACTTTGTTTTACTCAATGTAAAGTTTTGAATAATTTTTTCGTAAATCATAACTCAGTAAAATGGTTTTTGACTATAATTATGATTGAATAACTAAATT